TTTGTGGTGGGGTTTCAGCTCCCGTGAAACACAGCTCTGCCCCACCTGTTGATCATGACAGCTGGATACCAGAGCATGCAGAATACCAGAGCATGCAGCGATGGAGAGCAGCAGCCTCAGTGCAAGATGCATTGTTAGTGTGTGGCGCTGGGGTGGGTCTTGGGCTCCCCTGCAGCCTGTTCCAGAGCCTGTCAAGTGCAGCAGGAAGCTTTCCTTTGCCGTCACTAGGTATCACATCAAGCCCAGACTGTTTGCCTCTCAAGAAAGGGTCTTTGTTGTCCTTTGAATTTGTGCAGCACCTAGCACAGTGTTGCTGATCAGGCCTTTGGGCATGGGCAGACTCGCCACTCAGCAGTATGGGGGAACAGGCAGTATTTAGTAAACAGGCCCCCCAGCATGGACACAGCGAGGCAAAATCTAAGATGATGGCACGCTAGCAGAGACCCCCCCGATCCTGCCACAGGAATTCCTCACCAGACGCAGCAAATTTACTCTGGTTTCATAGGCTTGTGCTGCCTGTCCTGTCCTTACACCAGTGTAATGCCGCTTATCCCTGTGCCCTGGTCCTGTGGACTCTACCGCAGTACAAACAGTAAAGGGTGGTGAGAAGCAAGTGCTGAGTCGGGGTCCTTCCTGGATTTCCTTACTAGAATTCCTCTGGCTTCCAGGAAGGTTCCTCTGCCTGCGTGTTCCTCTGAGCTCTTCCCAATTGTGGGGCGTGCTCCCTTGATCTCCATTGCTTGCCTTAAGCTGTGTTACTGTAATAAGAGCACTGGAGGGGAGGTGTTCAGCTTCATTAGCTGTCATCCGTGATACCAGTCATAGAGGTGCTTTGCAGAAGCTGCTGTGGAAGCAGTAGCAGTAAGAGTGTCTTACAGAGCCTTCCACCTGCAAGTATCCAAAACACTTGACCAGGTTTTTTTCAGGAGCATTTCATCTGCTGCTCAGTGCAGCCACTTCTGGGGCAACAGGGAGTAATTGGGTCTGCATCCCACACCGGCCCTGACCAGGAAGAGAGGGATGCCTCATAGCACATAAAGAGCAAGGTGTCCTTTCTCTCTGCAGATTGACATCTCCAAGTGCCATTACCTGGTGGACTTGGATGCAGCCACTGAGACACTAAGGGAACCAAGATACTCCTCCAACAAGGAAGAGTGGGTCACCATTGCCTACAAACCCTTCCTAGATGCTTCCAGGTAAGCTCTGTACATGCTTGGGAAGGGAGGCCAGCCTGGGGTGGAGGCTCATTTTGTTTGAACTTCTGCCTATGAAAGGACTTTGGCCATGTCCTGAGAGGGGAGATATAAGAGCTGCTGTGAAGATGCTCCTTTTCTGACAGGCCCTTTTCTGGGCACAGGTTGGTACACATCACACTAGTAGACTTTAACGCTCTTAACCAGCATTGCTCTATGCAGTGAAACTCCCCAGAGGGGTAAAACTGAACCTGAAAGGGCAAGGTCCCTGTACACTTTTGGATGAAGTCAGATTTTGTTCTTTGACCCAGAAGGGGTAAAGTTGTTGGGAAGAAGAGAAATTAATGCTCCTCAAATACCATGCTGTTTTGCAGAGTTTGAAATAGCATAAACACAACCGTGCCTGGGTTGTGGCCCCCAGCTCTGGGTTTTACAGCTGTTGTAGGGTGGCTGTCATGCTAGGGAGAAAGAAGTTGTCTAAGATCCTCAAAAAGAGCCCCCCAATTCTGCACCTCCCCCGCCCCCCAATTGAACATGCTCCAGCAAGACAGGTTTCAGCACAGGGTATAAGATTAACTGAGGGTTTCCAAAAACGAATGCAAAGACTCGAGTGACAGGAAACTGTGCTAAAGTGCATATCCCACTGCCACCCCTGCCTTCCTGGCCAGCTGAGAGAAGCAGTTTTGCTTGGCTTCTTGGCAAGGTATTTTGTGAGCTGCGTCTGCCTCACTGATGCATCAGTGCTGGAGTCTTCCACATAACTTGTCTTGCTTCCCTCTTCTTCCCTGCCCTGGCCACCTTTCTGCTTGCATAGACCTTGTTAGGTGATTGAGAGCTGTTCTGTCTTGCTATTTTCTCCATTGGGCATATGCACTTTTTTTGGCCCACTCTAAAGTCCTGTGAAGTTGGTGAGAGGTGCTGGACCAGACCCAAATAAATATCCCAGGATATTATTAGTTGAGAGTACTTTCTGGGGTGGGCCCTGCCACATCAGGCTGTGCAGTGGAAGTAAAGGTAAGAGAATGATCACTTTAGGGCTGTGCTTGTCACAGGCATCTCTGGAGCACCGGGCTTTTTGTGACTGCTGTTTGTTGCAGCATCAGAGGCCTCAGCTGAGCTCAGGACCTGCTGCACTCGGTGTTGTACGTGAGCATCACACTGCCTGCCCTATGGTGCCTTGCAGGGTTTTTTTTGCCAGTATTTGTTCCATCTTCCCGCTGATCTCCAAAGGGAGATGCTTATTTTGGTGCAGTCACAGAATAAGCAGATGCCAATCAGAGCACTTCCTCCTGCCCTCAGCTGGGGGCTGGCAGCTGTTGGGAGCACTCTGCAAAGGCTTGAACTCTGCCGCACACTATAAAGCCTGTCAAGTAAGGGCCCAAAGGACTCAATGCTTGCTCTGACCCATGACTGGCGCCGCTCACTCGGACAAAGCCAGCAGTCAAATCTTCCCTTCTTGGGTAGGGCAGACAGGCCCTTTTCAAGGCAAGTGAAATGCGCCTCTTCCCTGCCTGGCACTCATTTGCCGGTGACAGCCGCAGCCCCGGAGTCCATCAGCTGGAGACAGGAGCACGCCAGCTCTGCTCAGCCAGCTGCTCTTCTTGCTGGGAGCCAGGGCAGGTCAAGCTGTTGCTGTTTCCCTGCTCCCAGCAAAAAGCGGCTCCCTCCTCTCCAGCCAGCCACCGCCCGAACCCGCCAGCCCTCTGCTTTCACCTGCCCCCAGCCGAGCCCTCTGTGCATCAGACTCATGAGAGGCTCTGTGACGGACATGGTGCGTATGTGCTTACAGCTCCTCTCTTCTAGCCAATGCCCAGGGCGAGGGCAGGGGGCTGCTTCCACTGGGGGTGGCAGTCACAGCCGTGGTACCATCTCTTGATCGTGCAGCTGCTTGTGATATTCCCGGGGAAGGGCAGCCCCAGGGAGGTCGTGGGAACCATGGGGCATCAATCTCAGGCACACGATGAGATATAACGGGGAGAACAGGGCAGCCTGTTCTTGAGTTGCAAAACTGCCCAACAGAAAAGCAGGATGGGAAAGGGGGCATTTTTTTTCTAGCATCCCTGACCCTTTAACAAAGGACCATGTGGCCTCTATAGCGCTCGTTGCGTTGAGGAGGAGACGGGAGCATGCAGCCAGAAAGCCTCTCGGCCCTGCTTGCTTCTCTGGCCAGCCTCCTTCCTTTTCTGGCATCCCTGACCCTTTAACAAAGTACCATGTGGCCTCTATAGCGCTCGTTGCGTTGAGGAGGAGACGCAACGGCCTCTCGGCCCTGCTTGCTTCTCTGGCCAGCCTCCTTCCTCCTCCTCGGGCTCGTGTGCATTGACATTCTCTGTGCTGCTCCCTATCAGCACCTTCCAGCGTGAGCAGGAAGGAGCTGCGGTGCCTTCATGGTGGAGCAGGCCAGGTTGCCATAGCAGCAGGTCTGATTTGCATGCTTGCCATGCACCTTGATCACTGGCAGGGTTCGAGATGTGCCACACCGCGCTGCCAGGCCACCAAAGCAGTGGGTGCAGGGCTGCCGTGGGCTCTGGCCAGAGGGAAAGGTGCGGATGAGGTGGGGCATGGGCCTGTATTCGGACAGGGCGGCTCTCCTTCAGGGGCGTGGGTGGGCAGCAGCAGGCAGGCCCACCTCGGTCGCTGGCCCCCCAGAATGAATCACGCGCTCATCAGTAATGGGGAAGGTCTGAAGCCTCCACAGGCACCTCCGAGTGACAGAGCCCCCGGTACAGCAAGGTCACCACTCAGTCTAAGGGGGAGACGCCTGCAGCCGAGGACAGAGCTTGGGTCAAGTCTGAGCTGCATGTCCGCTGCAAACCCTGGCTCACAGGGGGTGATGAATGTGGCCTGTGAGCCCTTATCTTCTCGATTCTCTTCCCCCTCTGCAAAGCACACCAGTTATTTGTGTCTGAAGCCCCTTCATGCCTCCTTAGAGGCAAGAATCCTTTGGGCTGCCCAGCCCATAGCAGCCCTGCCCCTTAGGAGATGCTCTCTTTGGTCTGCTGCTGCCTCAGCTTCCCCACGTGTCAGGGTTGTAGCGGAAGAAGGGACCAGGCAAGAGGGAGCTAGCTTGGGAGGCCCGGGTTTGAGTCCTTGCTTAGCCCCAGACTTCCTGCCTGCCTTGGGGTGTGTCACTTAGATGCTCCATGCCTCAGTTCCCAGCCTAGTAATCCTTCCCTCCCTCATGGGGAAGATTAATGCCTTTTCTCCCTTTAAACTGTTGTTTGTATTGCAGAGCGTGGCCCCCTGTGCCAGGTGCTGCGCGCGCGTGCACACACACACACCTCATTGAGCCCTGCCCTGCCCATTATGGCAGTCCCAGCAATCCACACCACCTGGGGGCCTGAGCAGGCAAGGTGGGGGGCAGTGCAAGACCTAGCTGGACAGGTTGCACCATCTCCAAGATAAGGCAGTTTGGGGTTTTTTGGAATGTGATATAATTGCTCTTTGTAGAAGATAAGCCGCCTCTGACAGTTCCCCAGGGAAGAGCAGAGCAGGAGTGTTGCAATCAATCACCAGCTGACTGCTGAGCTAATTGCTAACAGAAGGCTGCAGATCTCTCCGACAGGAGTGGAATCTGCCTGAGAGGGTGCGTCCCTGCTGCACTGCCAGCCCGGTTGTCGCCTCCTTGCGCGGCTGTGCTACTGCTTTCTGCATCCGCCTCATGCAAAGGAAGGCGCTGATGGGGTGCGTGTGTGTCCCTGGGGCTCTGTTGACCCACCAGGCCTTTCCTTCACCTGTCCCCTCTGGCTTTGGACACAGCATGCCTGTCTTCCTGAACACCCCAATGTTTGCAGAGCAAATTGGAGCTTTAAAGGGAGTCTCTTCTCCTCTCCTTTCTCCCTTCCGGCTGGAAGCATATTTGCAGGCATCTCGGAGCATCTCCCCAAGGACAGTTCCAGAGATGTGGGACAGGTTGTCTAGCCAGACCTGTGGATTAGTGCTGAGTGGGTCCGTGCAACAGATCACACCGGCCTGTTGCCTTGGGACCCAGCAACTTCCTCAGTGGCAGAAGCAATGGAAATATCTGCTGTGAAGACAAAGACAAGGTGGTACCCCTGGCAGTCAAGAAGGTGATTATGGGTCTGGGAACCCAGCTATGTAGGAGGATCCGTGACAGGCAGGAGAGGGGACCTCCGGCAGGTTAGTTGAATGGCCCCTGCAAGAAGCTTGATGCCACCCTTTTGCCACTCTGCCCTGGAGAGCTGGTGACGGCTGCAGGGTCTCCAGCACTGTTAGCTTGGAAAACTGGCTAGGCTGGTCAGTCTCTGGAAGGGGCTGGGATACTGCTTGGACTCCCTTGGGTGTCAGAATATTAGCTGATAAAAACAAATAAGTCTCCAGCAGGCTGGTTGGCTCATGGACAGTCCAGAGAGGAGATGTCTCCCCTGAAGAACATTGCAACGCCATGTGCAGTGCAGGCAGGCACAAGCAAAGGTCCCTCTGCAGAGACCTGTGTAGAGATGTGTGCATGGGGTCAGGGAAGGCGCAGCCTTTAAAAACCCGGCTGGCTTCCATCAGCCCCACTCCCTGCCCTCGGCCTGGCAGGATGACGTGCGGATCGAAGCTGGCTCCTGCTTCCGCGCAGACGATTCCAAAGTGCCCCCTGCAAACCATGAAGTAAGTGTCAAAGGCCCCATTGAAATGCAGCTAAAAAAACCCCCCAACCACGGAGCACCGGCACCTCCAGAGGAGCTGCGAGGCAGGCAGGAGCTGGCTCCGGTTACAGGTTTGCAGGAGGGGGCTGCGGAGCAAGGTGCATTCATTACCAAACTCCTCCAAACTCCAGCTCTTAACGCTT